TGTTTCCAGTACACTGTCACTTCAGGCGGGCTTATGATGAAGACATTTGATTCACACTTCAACAGCACTAAGCTGACTCACAAGACCAGTCTTTCTGCTTTTAACAAATCTCCCAAATGTGAAAGAACTATGACAGAGGTGTCTCAATGCCGACATACTACTTCCTCAATTATGTTGCTATAGCAATCACAAACTAATCATGTATCTATGACAACTAATCCTAACGCTATCTGTAAAAATTTAAACTACACAAGCCTGTGTGGAACCCAAACACCCACTTTCAATTCATTTTAAAATCAACACACTTGCCACTATGAAAATTTACTTAAATGAGGATTCAGACGTAATTAAACTCAAACAACATCAGCTGCCATTATAAAAATCTCAATATCCAGTGTGTGTGTGACATGTGGTGTTGTCAGGCTTTAATTAGATATATGAGGGTAGTTACCAAACAACTCAGATGCAAAGCTCATATCACTGGCTTTGGTTGAGGTAACCCAACGTCATGAGCTAGAACTACTATACCACTAGGATAGCACAATACGTTATTTCAGCATCGACATTGCAGTGTGTACATGTGCAATACTAATTGCAGGAAGTGCAATGTGGAGTAAGGCAAATTAAGTCACACACAAACTGGCACAGTTCTCATTTTCCATGACTAATCTACCAGAGAAGTCCGCCTGATATAATTCCCTCTGGTTCAAGTTTTCTTGGACACACAGTTTTCAAAATTTGAGCTTGTTGACATTGCAGACTGGCCACTTCAACCAGACCCACAAAGTTTTTATATATATATTTTGGTATACCGTTGCCAGTGTTACACCATATAAGAAATGGTCAAAATGTCTATTTTTGGCTTTTTCCTCCAATAAATGTTTTATTTCAGATGCCAGATGTACTCCCCTACAAAGATTCTCCCAGTTATTCTAGAGCAATCAATTCTTTACAAGTAGTTATTCAAGTCATCTGGGCTAAATTCATGTATTCAGTTTTCGCAATATATAATACAGAAATTAAAAACATAGCGATGTCAGTTTTTCCCCCAATATGATGCCATCCTACATACAACACAAACACAGTGCAAACGTAAAACAAATAAAAACCAAAATGAAATATTGACATGTCCTGTGGAAATAGGGCTGTCGGTGTTTCTGCTATTGCAATATAATTAGAAAAGGTTTTGACCCTTGGATGCAGATTACGACACTTTATTGTAGTTGGTGAGCTGCTGGGACAGAAAACTAGAAGCTCTTTAGGCCAAAAACCTCTGTCGGTCGAATGACGCATGTAAGTAGGATATCTCAGAGAACAAGAACAAAAGAATGTAAATTACAGAATTTGCTAAAATTCTGTTAACATGAGACCCATGAAATAATCCACTACAATCAGTTTGAGTGACATTTATTTACAGAATTTGCAGATGTGGAATTTGCTTGAATAATCAAGCCAGAAGCTTACCACATCTGTAAAAACAATCTTTGTGTCCATTTAAGACTTAGATGTAGCCTGAAGAACAGGTTCACTCTATACTATATGATCCACCTTTCCACCTGCTGACAAGATACTGTATGTGTGTGAATGAAAGCAATTCCCTTCACAAGCTATTCACTACAAACCACTACTGATGCCACCAATACCTTGGGACTGGCGGGGGATAATAATTAGCTGATGGTGTGCATTTATGGACAGACCAGATTTCACAATTGTGCAGCCAGCTCTATACAAGAACTGGGAGGGAGGAAAACACTGTAAGATTAAAAATGCATTGTTCTCTAGCCTGTACAGTTAAACAGGCAACTGAAACAAGTCAAACATGTTGACATAATGGGCTCAACAATAACCAACATATATCTGATGTATTTTATGGCAAACTGTCCATAAAATGTATCCCATCCCACTCTGTGACCTAATTAGGACAGTCAGCTGTTAGCTCTGCAGTTTAGTACTTTGACAGCAGTTATCAACAATTGTTGCGACAACACCTATGAAAACAGGTGATATAAAAATGGGCAGAGTAAGAGCTTGATGGTTGCAGTCGTTAAACCCGGTAGCCAGAGGTGTACAAATAAAATAAAACAAAATAAGTGTCTGTACCTCACCAACACCTCAACCATCAGCATTTTTTCCTGCTTATTGTCCGTCTCTGAATCTCACTGGTCACATCAAAAAATTCTGCGTACAGATAGAGCCTTAACAACTGCGTTTGCAGCACTCTGATGCTACAGCTGTCCAATACCGGAAAATCAGTCATTGGGGGTGTAACGTTAGCTGTGATGCTAACACTGGCAGCCAGCAGAACCGCCACAACTAACTAATGTGGCCACCTGTGACAAGCAGCACACTTCACTTTGAGGTAAAGTCAACTACCGCTTTCACTGGCCGGTGCTAAGCCACGGTGATAAGCTCCCCGCTCACTGGGACGGGCTCTTCGTCCTGCAGCCACAGCGTTAACAGCTAACTAGTCTGCTAGCTAACTCGACGCTACGAATGAGCCCATTCTACTCGCGCTCTCCGCAATGGAGGCTTCAGGATGTTTCAATAAAAAACGACTCGCCGGGAGAGAATTAGACACTCCCTGCTGTCATTCGGTCAACTCAACACAATCTCCTTTCAAGTCATACGTATCACAAACATGGTCGATTAAAATACTCACCATATCTGGACGAGTTGGTGCGGTCGGTCTGCTAACGCTACGGGGAGAGAGGAAATGGACGGTCGCCACTGAAACAAGGCTGGCTGGAGGCGGGCGGGCGGGCAGGACGAAGCACCGCAGCACGGCTCACCGTATTCCTCCGCACTGTGGGGAAGTGCGCTCTGTCAGATAGGTTCTGAGTTGAAAAAGTGTCGCCATTAGAAGCGGAGAATACTTGATCAGAAAGGGTTGTCCTGCTTTAATTCATTTGTGCACCACCAGCTACGTGTAAATACTCTGTTGCCTTCAAGTCCTCATTAGGGTCAGAGCTACCAACATGCCGTTACTGGTTTGTTTTTTAGGCATTCCATTAGATACTGTTTTATTGGGAATGTGCACAAAATTATTGTTAAAAAAAATCTCAAAAAGAAAGATTTTGTCTCAAGAACTTACTGCAGGACCTGCTATAAGTGGATGTAATGGCTCAGGACCTTTTGCCTGTTGATAGTCCAGCCTTGATGCTGTGTGATCAGAGGACTGATGTGCAACATCTGTAGCACCAGGCAAAATGAAATAAAGTTACTGAACTGTGCTATCATAATAAAGAACTGAATGCTGTCAAGTGAATGAAATCGGGCAACGATTAGGATCTCTTTATGACTCAAAAGTAATTATTACTGCTTTAGATTCAGAGAATAATCATGCATATCCACCTTTAAGTACCATAGTACCATGCTACAGTGGAATGACTTCAACCTCAATGTCTCCCATGATGATCTTAAGCTCATCACGTGGGACTTTAAGCATCAGATAGGCAGTTGGTATAAGGGGCTACAAACCAACATGGATACTACAGCACATTGCAGGAAACGCACATACAGTTTATTGCATGCCTTTTAATACCTGACACCTGAGAAAGTCATATTTGTGGTGACATGAAGCAATAAATCAGTAGAATTGTTAAGACAATTAAAATTTAATCTGCCAGCCATCATGATGAGGTTTGATCTGCAATTCAGCTGCAAAAAGCATTAAAAAAAAAATTCAGTGTGCAGATTTGCTCTCTTATTCTTTCTGTCTTCTATTTGTACTCACAAATACAAGATGAATCTTATGTGCACTTTTCAAATGTGCTTAAAATAGAGTCTTACACCATTACATTACGGTTTTATTGATTAGATTAATACATGTTTGTGTATGTCTTAGTGATTTAGTATAGTTAGAATACGTCATAACAAAAAAAGCCAGATATAACAGAATTACATTGTTGTCAAATAATTTTGCTTGAGTTATAAGTCACATTTTGGGTTTTGGAACATTGGAATATCTTGGATAATACATTAAATTTCTGTATCGGTGAGAATACACTTAAATTTCATGTTGTAGGCTTCCTGTTGGTCTACTCTGCAGCTAATTGAATGATCCTGTGTGTGGCAACTTGTCAGAAATTCTTCTGATGTCTTTTGAGAAATGAAAATCATAGTCAGACAATGTTAAAATAATCTGAACCTGGTTACCTGCAACAGACATCTAACTTTACCACTGATGCTGTAGTCAAATACAACCTAAATCATTTATGAAAGTAACAATATTGTGCTGTGGGCAATTATTCTGATGACAGTTTTGTTTACTGAGAAAAGATTACTATAACATTTATCCATTAAAACTGTTGGAATTAATAATTACATTTATTGTTTGCCTCTAAAAAACATGCACCGCCGACTTGGCAGCACAGTCACACAGAAAGTGACGGACTACTTTGTGTTACACTGAGTTTTATGCGGGCGGAAGGATACGCTCTAAACATCGCGGCTGACGGCACTAGGGAAGTTGCGGGTTTGCGTTTGAGAGGCGGGTTGTGATTGGACAGCGCAGAGCCGCAATATTCTGTAGATTGTACGGAGGCCGCTGATTGGCTCCCACAGATCTGCAATGCGTCAAACCACGGCGCGGCAACGCTAGCAGGGGGAGCGTCTCCACCGCTCCAGTGTACAACATGTACTGTGTTGGCAGCGATACAGAGAGAAGGCAGGTACGAACTTCCAGGTGGTTTACAGGTGTGTTGTGAAAAACAGCAGACGGAGGCAACAAGATATGGCGCATATATAAACAAACGTAGGATGGAATTTCACGAGTACAAAAATAAAGTTTTCAAATGTGTCAATTCTGTGACAATTTTTAAAGTAATGTTCACACAATACAATATAATAATAGAAAATCACTAAAACTACAATTTATACAAAAATTAAAACTTTCTGCAAGGATGTTGTTTTGTTTTCAAACTTATCCAAGGTGAGACTGCAAGTATAAATTAATCATCATCATCACAATCAAAACAGGAAGGACCAAAGCCACCAGCAACCAAACTGAAGTATTTTAATTTGGAATATTCAAGATTGAAATTTGATAAATGCTGAGGTAGAGTAATGTTTTAAATTTCGGTTGTCTTTTTTATGTTTACTTACTTGTTAAGAATTTCTGTCACTAGACTCTAATGCTGAGGTTATCTTTGCAGTGGCATACAATACATTAAAGTGTTTTTTAATACATTTAACTGCAAACAGGCCTTCAAACTCCATCTGGATGTATGCTCATCACACAGACAAACCTACAGCACAAAACACTGAAATTAATCTTAAATTTATTGACAATATCAGGTAGTAAATCACAGTTCTAGTGGTTTGCTCTGGTAATTAAAACACTTTGAGATGATATATACAAAGGGTAGCTCTTTGCCTTTATTTCCATCACTGCAATGGTTGAATAGTGCAGCTACATATGTGTGTATGTGCTGCCTGTGTGTGTCCTGTTCTTGCCATCAAGTGTTCCAGTATGCAGGTTGGCATGTTGCCAGTATAAAGCAAACTAAAGTTTTTGAATGATGTGTGTGTGTTCAGTCTTCTAGGAGTATATCCAGTTCCTCTAAAGGCAGCCTCAGTCGTAGTTCTTTCTCCGTCATCAGATCTACGAACTCCTGCAGATGCTCAGGGAACAGCTGCACGGCATCCATGTACAAACCCTGATCACATGCGTGTCATGTATACACACATTTGCATAAATGCAAATTTGCATTCAAACACAAACACACACCCAAAGGGAGAGAGAGTTTAGAACTGAGGTAGACAGACACCAGCTGCTCTTAAGATACATCACTTTTCTGTTTGTCTCACCTTAGCCCAGGGAATGTTCTGTAAGGCCTTGTAGAAGATCCCTCTGGCTCTATCCACCTTTCCTTCTGACACCTACAAACGCACACACATGCATGCACATTAACTACACACATTTGTTAAGTGAAAAAATATAAAGCTGAAGAAAAAAAAGGAATTTTAAAGACACAGCAGGCTTTTGCAATCATTACTCAAATGCACATACTTGTGTATTCGATTTCTTTTAATACACTCCATTCATGTCATCCCCCTTTTAAATGACACCTTAAAACTTTACGATGCAAAATCTACTTGTTCTCTGCTAGTATCACTATTCCAGCAGTAACTGTGTGCCAGTTTGTGGGAGCTATTTGCTGTCTCACCAGGAAGTGGATGTACATCCTCCAGACCAAAGGACAGTGAGCACCCATCTCTGTTGCTATGGCGCTTTCAAACAGACCACGAATACGGTTGCTGAGGCCATTCTCTGGCAGAATGGGCAAGGCATCATCATGGCAACAAGACCTACAATGTGACAATATGAATGAAAATTTTGTCAACAACGTGATTTAAAACTGCTGATGCTTTTCAAAAAATAATGTGGATAGGGGGAATTTTGATAGAGAATATTTGTGAAGTTTTCATTGCTTATCATGCACAAAAATAGACTACAGATTGTGTTTTTGTTGTTGGAAGCACATACTCATCATCATAATTTGTGATCTTACCTCTGAGCAGCATCCACCAGCTGCTTCCTTTGTTGTTCAGCAACAATGGCAAAGAGGCGTGGTACCATGCTGCTGGTGTCCCTGGTTACAGAGTTAAAAAAACGTCGGGCTCGGCCAGCACTATGGTAACGGTTCTCCACCTGAAACCAGGTTGCATCAAGGTTAGTCTGACTCAACAGATGTAGACAGCCATTGGCAGCACATTTCACACAGCTTTCTGCTTCCCGTTCTGTTATCTACGTGTTCCTGTTTCTAAAAGCCTCCTTCACAATGATAAAACAACCTCCAGGACAGCAGCCTACCACATTGAAATTTTTAAGTTTTGCAGAAGTTTGAATTGTACTGTAAACTTGGTAGTTTTTTTTTTTTGTGTGATCCATTTTGATGACAATGTTCATCTCTCTACACACAAATGTTACACCAAAACAATTCCCCCATCACCATTTTGAGGGGACATTTTTGCTGGATCATGGGTTTACCTCAGCCCAAAACGATTGTGATTCATTTAAAGAAATACCGACAAGCCAGAGCATTATCCCCCTTATAGCAGAATGACAATGAGGTGCAGGTCATTCTGCAGAACAGACTTGAGTGAGTACATGAAGGTCATAATGCCAAACTAAATAAGTTCTGACTCAGTTCAGTAGAAGAGTTACTCATTCAAAATGATTGATTGGATTTCAAACCATGTTGACTAAAAATGTACTTCGTTGTGGCTTACCTGTACATATATACTCCAGAGAGGAGCGCTGCTAGGCCAGACTGAGAGGGCAGAAGTCAGAGTTTGTCTCAGTGTCACCAGTGGAAACACACCGATGCTGTTGTGGTACTTCAGCAGTGCTGCCTGCTGCACTGCTAACACCTCACACTCAGCAGCAATCCTGTTGACACAGTGTCTGTTGGTGGGAGTGGAATCAGCTGCAGAGTGGCTTCCATCAGTGCTAGCAAGGTTGGCTTCGTCATTACTGTTTAGCTGCTTTTCAGGTGTCAGAGTGCGGTACAGTTCCTCCATCCTCTCTCTGGCTTGGCTGTAAACAGTGTTAGCTGCTTGGATGCTCACTGTGAGGTACTGGAACAGAGCATAGCAGCCGACCAGACCTCTCAACCTCAGCTTCTCTCCTAGTAGGTCCTCTTGGTCTGGTGCTGAAAGAATAAGACATAAGATCACATGAGTAACGTATTAAACTGGCTCACATTCAGAGAAGGAGGATGTGAATTTATACACTTTGTAATATCTCTTCATGATGTCTCAGATATAAAAAATTAGTCTAGAATGAGTTTTTCCATTGGCTTGTACTCCATTTTACAAAGCCTACAACAATGTTTGACAAAAAAAGTCAACTCAATACTGTTTAATGGATTATTAAAATAAATAAATAAATAAAAATAATCCATTTCAAGGTACTATATTTAGTTTCATTACCAACATAGATAATGCGTGGGAGGATTTAAATATGCATGAATCAAAAATAGCTGTTGTATGTTTTTAAAATATGGTCAGCACTGAATGTCCAAGACTTGTAGTAAACGGGCTTAAATATACAAAAGGCTTGTTTATGAAACACATGTACTACCTCCTACATGGATAAAACACACAGAAATTGTTCCAAAAATTAACCTTTGGGCCGGACGTGTTGGTCCAGGGCTGACAGGCTGGCAGTCAGAGCCTGCTCATAGGATCTCCTGGCTTTCAGGATGGAAACTGGGGAGACGGATTGTGAGGACGAAGAGGTTCCTTCTGCTAGCCTGGTCAGTATACACACAGCAGGGGATGCTGTTATATCAGTTTGTGTCCCTCCTTGCTCTTTGGCTTTGTCCTCTGCCTCCAGCTGGGACCACAGGAGGCACAGCTCACAGAGAGTGGGGCTACTCAGCCCTTTGGTTCCCCCTATTGCTGTTGCAGTGGAGAACACTTTCCGAGCCTCGTCCAGGTTGTCCAGCATCCACTCCAGGTGGGCGTACTCCCGCCACAACACCAGTGATGAACGGTTGTCTGGTTCTTTGAGCAGCCGCTTTGCAACTCGTTTGCTGCTCTTGCCTTGAGTGCGAAGACGCTTTTTATTCCCACTGTGCAAACAACGCATGACCTGGTGCACACACACACAAACACAAGAAGTAAGCACAAAGGCTAGTTTTGACATAAATAGGATTTTTCTCCAATTTACATATATCTTATAAACCAACCCGTACCTTGACTTTCTCGTACTGGATCCAGCTGAGTGACAAAAATGCTCGGTGGTCGGGAGGAAGGACAGGCTGGACCATACTGAATACGCTGGTGACAAACTTCTCGCCCTGCTTCCCGAGACCCACCCACTTCCTTGTTCCCTGAAGAGTGGTCATGTGACCTACAGAGTTGACCCCAGGGTCAGGTAGGTCAAAGCAGGTCAGCGGGTGCCGGAGCTTGTTACCTAGAAGACAGCATGAAACCAGATCTGTCATCACCTTCATCTCAGTTATTTACTTCAAGTTAATTGCAGTATTTTCGCATCCCGGTGAGGACACCCGAGATCTTTCTGCGTGGAGTTTGCATGTTCTCCCCGTGCAGCGTGGGTTCTCTCCGGGTTCTCCGGCTTCCTCCCACAAGTCCAAAAACATGTTGAGGTTAATTGGTGATTCTAAATTGTCCATAGGTGTGAATGTGAGTGTGCTTGGTTGTCTGTCTCTAAGTGTAGCCCTGTGATAAACTGGTGACTTGTCCAGGGTGTCCCCTGCCTTTGCCCTAAGTCAGCTGGGATAGACTCCAGCCCCCCACGACCCTGGTGAGGATTCAGCGGTGTATAGATAATGGATGGATAGCTAATTTGCATTATTCTGACTGACAGTGTCATTTTTACCCTGAGTGAGTAGAGAAAGGCTCTCTAGAATCAGGCCAGGCTGACAGGGGGTAGCAGAGAGCACAGAGTCCACAGGCAGACCCAGGAATGACAAGAAGTGGAGAAGAAGACGAAGCTGGAGCTCTGGCGAAGACAGGCAAATTAGGGATGAACCAATGTCATCAAACAAGACCTAGAATTGTAGAGAGAGGGAGACAAGGACGTCAAAAAACATTGTAACATCTATCTGATAGCTTATTTTTTAGCATACTGCAATGGAGTTCCAAACATCAGATACATGTGAAGCCAGTACCTGTCTGTCAGGATCCTCACAGTCCTCTTCTGACTGGCCCTTGGCTTTGTCAGGCCTCCAGGGCAACCAGTGAGCTGCCTCACGAGACGACTCCACATCCAGCCAGACAGTCCACCTGGGCTGGCTCCTATCCTTCACCTCCTCCTCATCCTCTTCCTCCTCTTCCTCTTCCTCTGTGGAAACACAAAAACATAAAGCTCATATTCCTGTTTTTATCCCACAAACTAGCTCCTCAGATTATTTCATCAGCATCACATAAAACCAGCTTCACTTTACGCTGCCATAAAACTATCTGAGTGTGTTCTACCTGCACTGGGCTGAAGCCACCCTCCTCGCTCTTGTTGGAGCATCCAGGCTTTCCAGCCTCTGGCCCCCAGCTCTCCAACTCTCGCCTCCCCGCTGTCCCAGAAAGGCTCAAAGAACTCAGCCTGTCGAAACAAAGAGACATGAAGTAAACTGGAGGCCACAAGTTCCACTACATCTACCTCGCTAAAGCACTGATAAATATTAAGTAGCTAATTAGATTTTTATCAACAGAAATTATACAAAATCCAAGTAATTTACAATTTCTTCTTGTTGCTGTACTTCAAAACCTAATTATTTGTTTGTAAGATTATTTATTAAAGAAACAGTATGACATTTAGAGAAATGAAGTCATTTCTTTTCTTGCCAGACACTTTGCTCATTGTAATATACAGCCAGTAACTTTTCTTCTCCTTTGAAAAATATATGGAAACAGCTAGTTTGGCTTTGTCCTGAGCAGAATATGGTCCCACGCATAACCTCCTGTAAAACAATAAATTGTCTTTTTACACTTTAATGGATCAGATGAGCAGCATAATATGAGTGAGCTTTAGAGTTGCCAGTTGGAGGATTTTCTTATCTTTGGGTAGCATCACTTTATTGCTGGTTCCAGTCTTTATGCTAAGCTAAGCTATGCTAAGTCAGGTCAGGTTCAGATTAACTTCAGCTCAACATGTAGAAATGCATCTTCTTCATTGATTTGTGTCGGTAGTGGCTCTGTGTACATCCAGGACAGTTTTATTGATCCTCTCATTCAACTCTCAGTAACAGAGACTCATAATCATTACAGGTAATTACATTATCATGTGTACTATTACCTATTACCTCAGTAGAATTGACAGCATTTCTTTTTACTTTTCTATTCTAATCTTATTTTAGTGACTTATTTTATTTCAGTAATGTATCATACTTATATCTTATTGCTTTCTACTTTCAGGCACTGCATTTTTTTATGTCATTTGTTTTTTTTCTGAGCAATATCTGGCACAAGGATTTCCTTTGGGATTAATGAAGTTTTATCTCATCTATAACTAAAATATCACAACTCTGGTTAGATTGTGTGTGTGTGTGTGTGTGTGTGTGTGTGTGTGTGTACGTACCTGCTGCTTAGTGGAGAGTTTTCGTACACTGTCAGGTTTGTAAAAAGTAAAGTCCATCATGGCCTGAAACAGAGAAATCGCCTTCTCTGAGTGACCAGACTGACGCAGGAAGTGACACTGCTGGGTGAAGATATCTGGACAGAAGAAAAGACAAAGTCATTCTGTGGGAAACCACCATTATAATGCGTTCCACTCATCGAAATGAAAGCAACATCTCATGTTGAAATGTCGAGTATGTCTGTACAGTATAAATAGGTTGAGGGTTTTCTTGCTGGAACAGAAGCAGGTGATTGACCAGGGAAACAGATTGGAAAAAGGGGATAAGTAAAACCTCATTTACCCAACATATCCTCCTCTATTCCTGGCAGAGCTGGATGAGAGACCATGCTGCCGTCCCGCACAGCACTGAGCATGCTCAGACACTTCCCATAAGCAGAGTTGACTTTTGACACAGTGAAGTTACTGAAGTAGCTCTGAGTGAAGAGCAGATACTCCCTCCACAAGGTGGCACTGTTTGGGTGGAGGAACACCTAAAATAAGACAGAAAACATGAGTTGGTCTCTTAGAATAACTGCAAAATATGGTACACAGACATGCTTGTATAAACCCATTTATCATTTCTCTCCACTCTGGTCTGGACCAAAGAAAACTAAGAGCGTTCAGCTCTAGACGGAGTCAACACATGAAAGCACTGATGAAGTGATATAAAAACACATGAAGACTGCAGCCTTACCAGTTTCTTCCATTCTTTAGCCAAAACTGAGGGCTCCCAGAGCTCTTGGCAGATCCTGAGCCTCTCGAGCTGCAGAGCTATGCAGAGGGGGTTGGTGGCCACAGCACGCTCCGCGATGCTCAGCTTTTTCTCCAGGACTGCTTTGTAGGAAGACTTCCGATGCTCAGCTGAATCATTGCTCTGTTGCTCCTCCTCGCCTCCAAACGCTGCTGCACTCAGCTCATCCTATGGAGGGATAGGAGAGGGAGAGGTTACGAAGCAATGCTGCAAAGGAAGAGTTCAGACACAGAACTTGTTTGCGGATATTGTTATGTATCTTACATGCGGTGTCACACATACTGAGCACATAGATCTTGTCATAATTTTATTTGGCAAGGTTCTTATTCTCTGCCTGACAATGAAGTCAGCAAGTAAAGTGTATTCACTCATCTTACACTGCATAGAATACCTGAAAATTCCCATATTTCAAGTTAGAATATTGAGAGCTGAAAAATCCATGTGATTCACATGCACCAAGCTTCTGATGAGTTGATCAGATCCTCCAATGTGTCATCTGAACGCTGCTTCAACGAAAGGCTACCACTGAAGGTAATTTGAATTTGTACAAAGGAATTAACACGGTCACTGCCACTAATTTGCTTATATTTGGTTAATGAGCCAGAAATAGTGCAGAATCTTGAAAACTACTTAATTCTAGATGTCAGAACTTTTGCCGTTGTTGTTGTTTTTTTTTTTTATCCCAAAAATGTATTTTTTAATGCACTTTGAGAAGCATTTAAAAAAAAATGTTTTAAGTAAAACTGTATTCCTGCCCTGACAGTAATGACACACTAGTCGATAACCTGCAATCTGAGGTGTCTAATGTCAAATACAAAGCATGATTATTATTGTCACTGTGTAAAAGCAGGTAGAGGACAAGTGTACATACCACGCATTGAAGCACTAACAGTCATATAAACACATACTGTTCTGTTCTGTACATCATCTGAAACAAAAGCAGAGCCTCCATACCTGGTATCGTATGAATTCTATCCATAGCTGGGCGTCTGCTGGCTGCTCTCTGAGCCGCCGGTTAAACTCTTCGGTCCTCCCTGCCAAAAGCACAGTGCTCTCTCCTGTCTGGTTGTCTTGCTTCTGCTGGTCCTGCTGTCCTTTCCCCTGCAGCCAGAGGGCCGTGGAGGAGTCATACACACCGAGGGGATTTACTGATGATGGCTGCGCTCGGTCACCTGAATTCAAAAATGACAGCACGTGATGAAGATATGACTCAGGCTTTCTGTGAACATAAATCCTGAAACTGCCTCAATATTGTGACATTAAATTCTGGTAAGCTTGGGGACACTTTTCACACATGTTAATCAGTTGAAATTATTATTTTATCTCTCAAAATAAGTTTAATCATAATTGGTATATTTGTACAAATGAGCTGTTTAGAATGGGAAAGTCGAACTCTGTTACCATTTTTGACTGAGATCTGTTTCAGCATGGATACTTATGCAATGTTTATTTCTTAAAATGTAAGTGCTTTCCTTAAAATCAGTAAATTCCAGTTTCTGGTTAGACCGGTTAGGGTTAAACTATAACATTTCCCATTAATACTGAAATAATGACACGTTTATGGTTTTTTTCTGTCTTTCTATTTTTAAAGCTGCGATGTTTACTGTCAGCACTCCTGCAGCCTAAATCTTGTACCTGTCTCTCGTCCTTTGTTTTCCCCGTCATTGTCACCCAGTGGGACGAAGGGGGTGGTGGAGGAATCACTGCAACCAGGAATCGTGGGAAATACAGGAACAGGGAGCTCACGCCTCAGCAGCTGCCGACTCACTGTAGAGAAGTATCTGTCTGCTCCTTTCTTGCTGCTCCCACCTTTCTGTTTCTTGTTAGTCTCTGTATCCTCCCAGCTGACTTCCTGTCTGCGACAGTCCAGACCCAAAGACGAGTGGCCTTTCCTCTTGTACCTGGGACACACAAAGCTTCAAAACTGTAGTTACAGGTCATAGCAGATTTGAAGTTTTCTTAAGACTCAGGGATCCAAGAGAACCCTTCCCAAGTTACGTTCGTAATAAACTGAAGAAGTGAGTCATTGGATCGTCACTATGACTTCTGGCTACTTATTCGTGCATAGGGTGTGTTACCTGGCTACGTCTCCTCTGTACAGGGATTTGTAAGTCCAGTTGGCTGGATCTGGTTTACGGTCCACACAGAATGGCCGCTCTGTGGGCGACTGCAGGTCATCCAACCAGGAGAAACAACTTGCTAACGGAGCAACCTTGTGCCTGCATCGATACACACACAAGTTCACATACACAACTCTAAATACACTACAGAAGGAAGCCAGTGCTGTTGTGTGTAAGCGTCTGTGATGTAAAAGTGTTTCTCTATACCTCTCTGCCTCCTGCTCCCTTTTGAGATCACTGGGGTAGATGGTGTCAGAGTCAGATCCACTGCTGCCCGAATATCTCCCACTCTTCTTTTTGTGCTTTTTCTTCTTTTTCCTCTTCTTTTCACTCTTTTTTTTCTTCTTTCTGGGTGGGACATTACTCTCTCCCTTCTCTTCATTCTCCTCTTCTGCAGAACTCACCTCTCTGTCAACACTAAAGATTATGAGGTAAATTCAACAGTACTAGAAACCACAAAGAACACATTAAAACTCAACCTGCCTCAAGTAAAAACAATTATTTTGCCAATTTAACAATTTTCAACATAATTTTAATTACTCTACTCTTCCACTACTTTTGTTATACAGCAACAATAAAGAATGATAGAACCTTTATTTTTAGCAATTTCAAAAAACAGTGCTTAATAGTGAAATTTAAGAGGGAACTTAAAAGACACAACAGATTTGCATGCTTAAGCATTTAAAGTACAGTAGTATCTGCAGTGTTGTGTTGGCCTTAAAAACAAAAAATGTGTACCTTGCTTCCCTCTTGTTCAGCTTCTCGCTGGTCTTATCTAAAAAACGGCTGTGAAGAGACAGGGCATCCACAGTCTGAAAACTTTTGTTGTTCAGCCATTCCAAATCTAAAAGGAAAGCAGACAAAGAAAAGTGTTAGCAACAAGAAGTGACTCACTGTGTGTTTACATGCAGTGTATATTGGGGCTGAAAACTTAAGTGATTTAAAATTTAAATGGCAACTTGAAATCCTTTAATTCGGGATATATGTTACACAGTATGTCTGGCCAAGGGTTTAAACTGTTGGTTTAAAATGATGGTTTTGCAAATTCATCCTTTCCTCCTTGTGCGGCAATTACCCATTTGACAAGTGATAATAATATGTGTGCTGTATTAAATAACAATCACCAATCATGTGATAATGCTCCATCACGTTCTAAGTCTATTACACATTGAAACAGAGCTGAAGCTTGACTTTAAAAATTACTTTCCAAATCAAATTGAAATCTGTGTAAAAAAATAAATAAATAAATAGATAAAATAATTAAATTAGACAATTTTTCCTAAATCATTTTGGCCTAATGCATGTCACAGCTGTGAACAGGTTTTAGTGATTCTACGTAAAAACATCCAATCCTGGTGATGTAGGGGACATGTGTCTCATGTATTCCATGGCTGATGACAGATGAAAGAGGAGCTAAATCTAGACTGATTAGTAAAGCAGTCTAAGTAACCACAAAGCCTGTCCAGACATGACAGGCATGTGGTGATGTCAGGGACATGTCTGCATCAGTCACCTGAATAGAGTCGCTCAATATGATCTACATGGAGCTGAACCACATTGGTTGATCTGTGTTTAATGTAAAGGTCGTGTCTTATATATTATCAGGATCAGCATAAGACTTTGTACAGAAAAAGTTTTCTAACGTGTGTGTAGAACTTCAACATACCGCAACTATAATGGCTCCGTAATGAGCAGAAACACACCACCTGTTGAACATCGCTAAGGACTTTAATGCTATATTTTTCCTTCGTTTTCGTACAGATACATCAGAGAGTTGCTAATATGCATCTGTGCTGATACGTGAAAAAAACAATAAATCACCAGTGTTGGCGTGACGCTCTTTTGACACAGAGAGATTAGTAAAACAACACACAGGCGACTCAAGCGCCTTACTTGCTGTCATACAGATACTGACATCACATATAAGGCAAACAAACAGATGATATACTGGCTTTCTGATTTTAAAAAAAACGTAGAGAAATGATAAAGTTGTTCATAAGTAAACAAGCTGGCTTCAGTCATTCAGCTTCAACGACATGCAGACGTTGGAGCAGCTCGTATATGCTAGTTAGCTCGTATTTCAGCCAGTTGATTTCTTCAACTTACTGACTACAGAGCGGTAAAACGAATAGAAATTGATATTAAAATGTTTGCTACATGAAGGAGAGATCACCTTTGGACGAATCCTCATCTTTGTTATCCGCTACTTCTGCAAATGCTGGAAACAGAGCCATGTTGGAGTGTCGCATAAACAGTCGCCGGGATATGACGTCACATAACTTCTTATTGTCGGTCACATACATTTCTGATCATTTTCAGCTGAAAGGTTCTATCCGTTGATATCACAATACATTGCAAATTTTGTAATGCATGGTCCAGATTCATATTTTTTTGTTAATTGGTATAATAATTACAACAAGGCTTCACAGTACAGTACACACAGTAACTTCAGTCAATGTAATAGTGCCACAATACAGTCTCAGCAAAAAAGTTTATACAGAGAATGGCACGAGTTTTCGTTGACACCAGCTGTTGTGGACTGCATTATACATAGGTCTTCAGTTTAAACACATTACGTCATACTAAGTATTGTTTAATGATAATTCAGCTTTTATAATCCATCATCCAATTATGAACAATCAGCGTTTGCATATTTTGTCCACAAAGAAACAATGTGTTATCCATTCATTCATTTTGTGGGGAATGCACAGATGCAGTCAGTTTATAATTCTACGAAAAAATAGCATGCACAGCATGCATTCGTGGTTCTGGTTTTAAAGGTTTACATTTAGCCAAAAGTTTTTTGAGCTGTTTTAATTGGTGCCAGATTCTCAACCACTAAGTTAATCCACAGCCTGGTCAGATGTGGCCTTTAAAGGACAATGATGCTCCTTTGACTAGCGACTATTAAAGTCCACCTTAAAATGCAATTTTATTCAAATGACACACTGCCTCAGATGACAACAGAAGGGTGAGACTGTTTGACTTTCACTGGCAAATTCTCCTTTAATAGAATATTATATACAAGCATGACTTTACACGTCATAATGCACCCTTGTGGACCAACAGGGGCATCATGATTAAAAATTATTGTTCTTTGATGACTAATGGAAACTGGAATATGGTTGTGTTTGTGCAATTTGTAAACTTATTATAATGTGGAACCTTTTTTAATAACAGTTTTATTAGAGAATATGTTATGATAAAGCCCATTCTAATTCCCTTGAGAGAAAACAACAACAGCATTTGGTTCACTGTTGTAAGCTGTTTGTAAGTTGAGTTTGCTTTATATACTGTATGTAAAACAGCACTGTGAGAAAAAAAAAA